TTAAAATTTCTTTTTAAAGGTTTTTCTACCCCTTACCTTAAGGTATATGATAAATGTGTATTTATTACACATTTTTATTATTAATATATATAGTAAAATTAAAAGTTAATATTAATTTTATTAATTATCCAATAAAAAAATTCATGTGTTATGGATATTAAAATTAATATATTAATTTTTGTTTTTTTATGTAAATTAATTATTAAAAAATATATTTATGACATTTAAAGGATAATCCATGTTGTAGTTAGGTACAAATAAGTCAGTGAAAAAGAGACGTAAAAGCCAGTTTTTTCTGGTAAAAAACGCAGCATGTAAAAGCCAGCTAAAATGGAGTAGACAGAGGACGACGAAGCCCAGTGGGGTCGGGAAAGGAGGATGGATCACATGGTTTTGTCAGGTGCTGGAGATTAACGATTGACTGGGCGTGCTTTGGCAGCTCGTGGTGGGAGTACTCTATGACAGATTCGCTCTCTTTTTTTCTCGGGGTATCAGCTCGTGGTGGGACCCTTTTTTTTCCTATATGCCTGAGTTTAGGGAGGGATAATCAATTGGCACCGTTGGATTTAATAGGCAAGATGGGTAGCATTTCAATGTTTCGGTAGGAAGAGAAATGCTCTCTCTAACATTTTCTTGTTAACAGTGAACACTCTTCCTAAGATTCAATAGAGCTTCACTCACCAACGACTTGTTGGGTCGAGTGGAAGGAGCTCGGTTCCTCTTAAGTAAGGTCTCGAGTTCGAGTCTTGTGGATGGAGAAACAGGCGCTGGGAGAGCTTCCCCCCTAATGGGGTCCGACGCGACTCGATTCCAGATTAGTCGGAACCCAAAGTGGTTACCGGACACTGGGAGGTTAATACCAAAAAAAAAAAAATAGAGCTTCACTCATTTTTTATTAGATAGAGAGGAGTAACAACACTAAAAAAAAAAAAAAAATTGCATTGTATCATATCTTTATGTATAGTACCTTTTTAAATTTTTTTTTAATTTTTTGTCATGGAATGAGTTTGAAACCTATTCAAAAAAAAGATATAAACTTTTTCAATGGTACTAGTCATTGGGTCACAAAGGTCAAGTACTATTTTTAAAATTATTTAATAAAAAATTAATTATAAAAAACTCATCCAATCCACTATGAGCAGTGCTAGGGGCACTCGGTTCTTGCACTCTCCGGCCAACACTGCCCTTTTCATTGGGCCACGTTGTTTTAGTTGGCCGACACTGCACTTCAAAGTTTAACACAACCTTACGTGGCCCAATGAAAGGGGCAGTGTTGGCCGGAGAGTGCAGAAAGCGAGTGCCCCTAGCACTGCTCATCCATTATTGATTGAAGAGCATGTAAATTATGAGAGAAGAGCTGGCTATCTTTTGAAGAGGAACCATGGTGGAGGTGCAACTGTATTAGATAATAATTGTGTTTATGTCAGAGATATTGGAATTCGGCATCCTTCTTGAGGAAAAGTTTGGTTGGTTTTCCAACAGGAGGATAATCTTTAGCTTTGAGGCACTTTGTTGGAAAGGAGAAAAAGAAAGTTTGGACTCTGGATGGGATGTCCCGACACACAATTGGAAGGGCCAGCCCTGACTGCACAGTTTTTGGGGCTTTCCTTTTAAACTTTACGTTCCATTTTTATAGGTTCGATCCTCCTGTACGATTCTAGTTTTACTATCTAATCTATCACTTAACAACTATAAATTATTCAAAATGGTCAAAGTAAATAGAGGTTAATCCTTTTATTAAAAAAAAAAGTTTAATGGAAAACTTGTGAAGGGGTCTTTTTTTCACTCTCAGGTATCAACTGGTGATGGGACCCTTTTTTTTCGGGCGTGGGCCTTTCGTATCCAATCCGTACGAATCTTCAGCGCAATAAAACATGGAAGAGGGTTCCACATTCATGAAAAGCCGGGGTTGAACCGTAACTAAGACAAGAATTTTTACTAATGATAGGAAAGGTTTAAGGGCCTTCAACGCCAGTAAACAGAAGCTTCTTTCAGTCTCTATTTGGCGAAGGGCACTTAGAAGTCAGCAAGAGAGTGAGTAGACATGGATATCGCGAATAGACTGGCCGGAGAGCATTGAGCAAGAAATCCGTCAGGTAGAAAACGAGAAGCTCCAATGCGAGAAACCTATATAAAAAGTTCCATAACCATGTTCAAATCATCTCAACTTTAATTAGCTTATGCTGAAATATTTTGCATTCAAATACATCAAACTAATAATTAAAGCTAATGATTATTACCATTGTACACTTTCTTTTTAATGTCATTTTTAGTGTTCGAATTTTTAATTTTAAAAATTTTTTAATTATTAAACTATTTTTTTGTACTTTCTTTTATCATTAAACTACAAAATTATATATTTTTAATAATTTTGTTAGTTTAATTCGTTAAGTTTATATACATATTTATTTTTAATTCTTAAATTTATAATATATTTATATTTTTAATTTTTAAACTATATATTTTTGAATAAAAATATACATATATAAATAAAATTAATAAATTAACTAAGGAAAAGAATAAAATTTAACCTATAAGGTCGAGTGGCATGCGTCACTCTTGTAAAAGTTTACCATCCTCTCTTCTCCCTTATCACGGTTCAATCCGTTCCCATGATAATTGTTTAAAAAAAATCTAAGAAAAAGAATAAAAAGTATATTTTTTATGATTCATAGATAAAAAAGTACAAAAAATAATTTAGTGACGTGAAATATTTAAAATTAAATTTAAAGACTGGAAATGATATTTAATCCTTTTTATCTAAAATTACACAATAAAAAATGTTTTCCTCATATTTCTTAATTCATTCCACCATTCAAACTCAAAATCCTTTTTTTCTTAAAATAATTTTTTAGGCCAATTGATCAAAAAGAAATTTTTAGGGGTAAATTAATAAAAAAAATAAAAACCCATTAAGATAAGAAACATTAGATGCATGGTCGGCTCTACGATTTGTGTGTTATATCGCTGATTGTTGAGAAAATCCATTCATCCCTGTCGTAAAGTTGAGGGCTAAGGCCAGACTTTCTTCCTCTTAACTCAGCTAGTAAGTATAATTGGTTTGGTTAATTATTTTCCGTTTCAGTTATGCTATTTGGAATATGTCATAAAAGTACATTAATTATGTTAATTCTCCAATAGTCTCGCTCTAGTCTATTAGATAGTATAAAATTTTCAGTTTGCCTAAATTATAATCATTAATTAATTTTCTATATATTTAGAGAAAATGTTCTGTTTCTTATGCAGTCTATACATCCTCCTGTATTGCTTCTCATATTAGTAATGTATTATCAACAAATTCTCGGTAAGAAATTAATAATTCCCCATTCACCACCAGTACTTTACAAAGCCTTCAAAACATTGCAGATGATGTAATTATATTCAGACCCTTTGCTACCATAATGGATCTTCTTGCTGTCTCAATCTCAATCCACAATATATCGTTAATTAGAAAACTCGCTGCAAGGACTACCATTGTTAATGATAAATCCTTATAATGTGACATGATATATAGTTTTTATTCAGGTTTTTTAACTTAGATGCGTTCACTACTCACTGTTACATGACATTTTGCTACTACTGTTGAAAAGAAAAAGGAAAGAAAATGAAATTTTCACATGTTATTTGATAAATTGAAAAACTAAATTAATTGAAAACTCCAACGCACCAAACATGAAATATAGCACACACTGTAATTACCTTAAAAAGTAAAAAAAAAAAAATTAACACGAGGAATTTTGAGAGAAAGCGAGAATTTTTTTAAATGATTAATAAAAATAGAATTCCAATCATTTAAACTTAAATTTTTAAACTTTGTGATAAACTATTAAATCCATTCGATTGATTCACCTTAAAAAATTAATTAATTATAAACCTTAAAAAAAAATACATTTCACCCTGTATTAGATTCAAATTTTCCTTATACCTGTTTAGAAAAAAATATGTACAGCTCATGCCATGTCCCACCACCAAACAGACAAGAAAGACCAAAAAGCAAATGATAAAAGACGGGTGGTACAAAACTTAATTGTTGAAATTGACTTTTTTTCTCGCTGCACAGTTATTATCCTATTGTTTTTCATCACATCACCCTTTGTATTCCCTTATTTTGGATTGTAGGGAGATTTTGTCTGAAATTTCCCGGATTCGCATCCAACATATGTACAGAAAAGCTAATTAATGTGCAGACGCTTTTACTGCAGTGTTCGTTCACAACACGTGGATTTTGTTCTTTTATTAATATTTTGATATTCAATAATTATATTAAAT